CCCCAGCTATGACATGACCCCGACCAAGTCCATGGTTGACACCCTCTCATTAGCATGTTGTGCAGAGGAAAAATAAATGCGGAACTACATTCAGAAATAAATGAGTGATCAAAGGAAAATAGGATGGATGAGTTTAGCATTTCCTTAAACATTTTCCATTTGTCCACTAATTTATTTTATTTATTTGCCTACTTTAATCTCATGTTTAATTATTTCTATATGTATTTAAACAAGAATTTGTGTATTTATACAGACATTTATTTATTTATTTGCATATTTATTTATTTATTTGTGTATTTATTGTTTTTGCAGGTGTCGTCCTCCATACTAGTCATCATACAGCAACAAAATCATTGTAGTATAGAAAATTATTTTAGTTAAAAAAGGAGAGAAATAAGAGGAGAGAAATAAAAAAAACGAGTCAAACATGATAAATCCATTGAATCAGTTTAATGTCTTAAATCATATATTACCTAATATAATTGACTATGAAGTTAATGCAATACATGTATTGAGTCATTTCCATCTTATATGATTTCTATCTGAAGTCCATGCAGCTAAACTATGCATTACTCTAAAATAAGTGGTTGATGATTGATAAATATGCTTTACATTTCCACAGGTCCTTTAGACACAACATCAGGAAGTCCAACACAAACATAAATCTGAATATGAGATTGTATTTATATAGGATATATTATGCAAATAACATTTACTAGACTTCAGCTTATAATGCCTCAGAGTGAATAAGTACAGTGAGATTTTATTCAACTTTTTTTTTTATGTGTAAGCCACTTTCCTCATTACTACTGTAATTTTCATAAACTGAATTTTCTCTTCAGACTCTCTGGCATTATTTGTAATGGAATTTCTTTGTCATTCCTAAAGGAGATATAAAATAAATGTGATTAATACTTGCAGTTTCATTTTTTAATATGTAATGACATGTGACATATGAAAGAATAGATAATGCATTGCCTGAATTATATTTATTCTTAAATCAAAGTACACAGCACAGTAGCATTTCTAGCAAACATGCTTCTGTTACATACGTTGTCATTCTCTCAAGCTTCGACTCTGTGTAAACACTCCTCTTCTTCATCACGTACAGTAGCATAATGTCACAGATGTAAGAACCCTTGGGGATAAACAAACTTGGTATATAGATTAAAAATAGATGATGTATGATGTATGTATCTGAATATTTACATACTTACAGCAGCCATTAAAGTCAGAGCAGAGGCTATGTTGACAATCGTAGGAATAATACAAAATTTTCTTGCCTGGAAAAGACTCATATATACATGTATTAAAAGCATGCATTATATCACTTGTGCATTCATGTCTTTAGCATTTGAGTCACATACCATTCCAAACACCATGATTTCCAAATGAATTCCAAAAACTTTGTAAAATATTCTTCGCCTGTCTCCTGCAACATCAGTGAAATAGCGAGCAAATCTGAGAAGACAATTAATGGCAATACTGAGCATAACAACATTCTGTCACAATACGCTGGAGCACGGAAACGAGGAGACATGGAGATTTCACAAAACGAGAGTCTTTAATGATCCAATAGGGAGACACAGAGCACAAGGATGACGTTTACAACGAGTAGACCCGACAGAGGAGAAATGCACAGACAAAAACTTATAAACACAGGACAATTACCAAACACAGGTGCACAGAATGACTAATTAACTAAATGAGGACAGGAACATGACCAAATAAGGCAGTGGTTCCCAAACTTTTTCAGCCGGCCCCCCTTTTGTAGAGAAAAATATTTTCAGGACCCCCCTCCTCCCCCCTCCTTTTTTTTTTTTTTTTT